GATTGTTCAAATTCAAAGGGAACATTCCACATTGCTGTAAGAAGGACCCAACAGTTGTGGATTTATTGCCAGGAACTCCTTACAATCTGCAGATTCCAAATTGCTGTAAAGGGGGAGTGCTAAACTCATGGGTGCAAGATCCAGCCACTGCTGCAAGCTCATTCCAGGTGAGTGTGGGTCAAGCAGGAACCACCAATAAGACAGTTAGAATTCCTAGGAGCTTCACTTTGAAGGCACCAGGGCCTGGTTATACTTGTGGACCAGCAAAAATTGTGAAACCCAGTAGATTTGTTACTCCAGACAAACGAAGAGTCACACAAGCTTTGAGTAAGTCACTTGATTAAGATCTAGAATGCTATAAATTTATTCATATTCTTTTAGCTAATCAGCAGGTCATGTTTCTCATCACTGAACTTTGCAAAAATGGCTTTCTGATTTATACTGCAATTAGCTGAAATTGTTATTGTAGTTGACTTATTACAGAAAGATGTCCTCAGTGGGTACTGTTTTTCTTGCTGGACGCTAATTTTATTGACATTCAGTATCTAATAATTAATAGATTATACTTGTTAATTGCTTTGCACAAAGAAGTTCTTGGAAATAAAATTTACTCTCCTTGTATCAGTATAGATGGTTGTAATTGAGACTACTACTTTATGACGGTGACATGGAATGTTACATGCACATATTCTCAATTCCTATCTCAGAAAACACCCACTTGTTGCGTCTCTCTGTCATCTTTCTATAATGACACCATAGTACCTTGCCTCAATGTTCTTGTGGCTGCCAAAATACATCTCAGTTGGGGAGCTGTATAGAGTAAGTTCTCTCATCCAAGAAGATGATACTTATTGTTCAGAGTTTATATTGGTTGGAGATGATTTCTATCTTATTTGTTTATTGCTTCCTAAGGCCTTTTGTTGCTAATGTGCAGTCCAGAAGCTCCACATATAGCATCGGTTGTTCCAAGTACAGGGAAGAGCAGCTATACACCTTTGGTCCAATGTACAAGCCATGTGTCCAGTCAGAATTCATTGGCATGTGAAGCTTAACTACAAGGAGTACTGGCGGGTTAAGATCACAATTACTAATTTCAATTACAATATGAACTACAGTGGAACTTAGTTGTGCAACATCCCAACTTTGACAATCTGACTCAAATTTTCAGCTTTAACTATAAGTCTTTAACTCCATATACAGCAATAAGTAAGTTAAATCAATCTTGGTAAGTTAAATCAATCTTGGTCACTTTTGTATGTTTCTTGGTCTTTGCATCTTATGTCATCAAGAGTGGAATGATGGTTTAGATAAAACTCATCTCTGGTTTCTCTGTGATGGGAGGGAATGGGAACTAAGAGCATGACAAAGGTTAGTAAAATAATTCAGGAAAATAAAACATTTAGGGGGAGAATAATTGGTCCATGCATGATGTGGATCATTTGGTGCATGAAATCTCTGACTCAGTTCTTAATTCCTGGTCAAAATTGTTGATTCAGGGTAATACATAGCAGCAAATGTTACATGTGAATAGGAAATATGCTAATTTTCACTTGGCTTTGAAACCGTTGAAGAATGAAAATTAGATATTCAATTTTCTTTTTAAATTTACTAATAGGATGACTTTTATTTGTTTATTTTATTCAACGGATGATACTGCCATGTTATGGGGTGTTAAATTCTACAACGATTTGCTCTCCCAAGTTGGTCCGCTCGGTAATGTGCAATCAGAGCTACTTCTCCGAAAGGATAAACTAACTTTCACTTTTGAGAAGGGTTGGGCTTTCCCAAGAAGAATCTACTTCAATGGAGATATTTGCATTTTGCCTGCTCCTGGTGCCTATCCTTGGTTGCCGAACGCCAGTTCCCATCAACTTATCTCGACACTTAGTCTTTCGATGACTCTCTTGGCAGCAATGGCATTTTTATTCGGATATGCATAAACGTCAACCATTTTTACACTGCAAAATCTGGTTTGCTACCATTTTTTACTGAACCAGTTCAACTGTAGAACATACAACTGGCACAACCACAAGTTCCCATGTTTGTTGTAGCGACACCAAGCAGTTCAAGCATGTGAAGGTGCAGTGGTTTCTTTATTGAATTCACTATGATATGATCACTTGTGCTGTTGTATGCCTGTTCATTTCTGTACTTAGCCATCTTGTTTGTAGAATTTCCACAATATTTTATTACTGTTGTAACAAAAATAAGTCATTAACAGAGGAATTTTAGGTAATTTATGCTTGCAGTTATATATTGGTTTGTATTTGTTATAAATCTTAGTTCAACTTATTATGTTATTTTCATGATTGACTTAAACTAGATGCATTTTGATTAGGTGCATCGCCAGCAAAAGATAAAAGTATTTCATTAAGCTACATAACATATATATAGCAATGAAAAACCCATGTGTTGTGAAGAGGGTGCATGTACATTACATTTCATTAAAGCATAAAGATCCCTTTGGGGCTTAGGTGATTGGAAAAGGTGAAATATGGTGAAACATCTATTTTGTGGCATTGCTTACAGGAAACTATAAGAAATTCATGAACATATTTGTTGTGAAGAGGGTGCATATAGCTCTGCTAACAAATTCGATACCATGGTGCTAGAATTTTGTTACAAGAATGCCTTTCTGATTCGTTGATGAAAGAATTTTGAATTTGTATACCTCTGCTCCCTGTTATCTGTGGTAAAATCTTCCCAATGCAAAACTTTCAGTGTTGGTTCCCCCACTATTTCATGCTCCATGGGAAACAATCTCTAAGAGGCCACTAACAAGTGATTGTTACGGTTCACATCAGCAATCACTATTTTATTACAATCTGATTGCTCCACCAAATGTCACTGTTCACATCAATAATCACTATTTTATTGCAGCATTTTGTCAAGGAGATCAATGCTCCATTTATATCGTCTGCTTTGACTAAACAATCTTCCATAAATTAAGATGATTCTAGGTCATGTGAGCCAAAAGAACTTACTGAGGGCCTGAGGTTTTCTGTGCCGATGAGCGGTGAGAAAAGTTGTGGAAGGCTCAACCTTTGCAGGAACGCAGGTGTATTGTTATGGTCCAATCAATGTCTCAACACCACCTTCAACTTATTAAGTGTATTTTGCGAAACAAAACTATGAGAGCTAATAGATTAAAGTGGATAATATTTTACAAATTGATGTGAACCATAACATTTGATATAAGAATCGATTTTAGTGAGTGTTAATTATGTATCATTGAAGATGGTCGATCCTCGTTAAAATGAGGAAGGATGTTATAATCTTAAAGAAAAATTATGAATTTCATATTAATTGTGTATTAAAATCGATCTTTAGATATAGGTGTTCACACTAATTATAATTTGTGATACGTTATTTGTGAAATAAAATTGTAAAATTTAATAGATTAAAATGAATGATATTTTATAAGTTGATGTAAATCGTAACATCTATCTTGATTATGAACCAAGTAAAAGGGAGTTCTTGGGAAGTTTCAGTCTTGTTTGAAGTACCGGCTAATCCAACACTCACTTGGAAAGTTCAGACGGCAGCTTCAGGATCTTGACCCCATGCTGGAAGCGTTCCACCTTTAATCACTCAATTCTTTTTTTTTTTTATTAATGTCACATATTAATTAACAATAACTACAATAATTGTTGTGCATGTTTGTTTCTTTATGGTATACATATGGTGGACTTAAAAATTTTATTTAATGAAATTTAATTTAAATATACTAAATTATTAAAAAAATAAACACTCATTTTTATGTCAAAGTCATCGAGATAAATATTGAGTTCAAAGCATATAATATTGTCTTCATGTGATAAAAAAAAATACAAAAACATAAGAAACCATTTAAAGAAAATATGTTACCAATAACAACAAAATCTTGAAAAAAATTTAATTTCCAATGAAATTTTATGTATTTTTTGTCAAAGTTAATTAGAAAATTTTGCAAATAAACATGGAAGATTAAAAAAAAAATGTAAAATACCTGTTAAAAGTCCAAATATATAAATACTTTTTTGGTCTAGTGGGGGCTCAAGCCTACACTAAGTCCCATGGGCTCCGCCCTTGCATATACAGGGTGGCATAAAGGGGATCGGGATTTCATTCTAATATTAGACTTCGATCATTTTAAGAGAGTAACAACTAATAGTAGAAATTTTATGCATAAATATTATACTAATTTTATCACTAACTAATATAGGGTTAGAAAATAAAATTTATTAAGACATAAAAAATTAATTTTTTATAAATTTATTAGATTTAATGTAATTAAACTTGTTTAGATCGGTTCGAAGAGAAAATATTTATATTAAGATGCTGAGTTTTTGTATTTTTTTTTCTTACTGATTCATATGAAGATAAAGGTGGAACAAAGTTTCCATATCTTTAATTTCTCTTAGACTTCCTTGTATATATGAAAAGAAAATTTCATCCCGTCATCTTTCTTTCTTCTTATTACGATCCATTCTTTAATCGGTTAAGCAGTCAATTTTCCAATTTATTTTCAATTAATTCTACCTATCACAATTGGAATGGTAATGCTTCAACACTAGTCTATTTCTCCCTTTTATTTGGTGTTAGCCTCTTCACTCGTAATATGAAAAAACAAGATTTTCGGTATTTTACTTAGATTTTGCTAATCAAGGACACCTTTTAATGTTAATTAAATTATTATTTGTAGTATCATTATGTTAATGGCTTAATTGACAATTATTACAATTAATTTTGATATATTCAGAGAATCGGGACATTCAACCGTGTCTTTCAAATCAAACCCAAACTTTGGAACTCAATGAGGCTAAAAAAAGGGTTTATTCCAAAGTTACCAAATCAAGAAAACCAGAGGATAAGGCTAAAGCAGCACCTAGTTTTCGGCCTTGATTTTGAGGGTTAAAGTAAAAAATTTTGTGTAGCCCACTGAATTGAAATACAGGTCTGGCCAGCCAGGGTAAATTACCAAGTCTGGCTCTTTCAAATCATGTTAACACTATAAATACTCAGACTGCAGGGTTGAATTGAATTTCAACTAGTAATCTGCAAATTCTGTGTGGAGAAACAAATCGATACTTTATTGGAGAGTGTTTGGAGGTTTATTTTCACTAGGAAAAAGAGAGAAAAGTTTTTCTAATGGGTCGGTGGATGAAGCCAGAGGTAAGAAGTAGGCAACATGGAGCCAAATTCCATGATTTATATATTTACATTATTTTTGTCAATCCCATGATTTATTATTCCTATGTATAAATTGTCACCTTTTTTTCTTCATTTTTATTGTTTGATTGATGGGTTATACATTCAGGTGTACCCCCTAGTAGGAGCCTTGGCTTTTGCAGCAAGCATGTGTATCTTTCAGCTTACAAGGAATGCTTTCCTAAATCCTGCTGTGAGGTAAATGAAATTTCTACATCCAAAGATTACCATAAAACAAATTTGAAAAAAAAAATTTTTTTTTCTTATTTGATACATGTGATTTTAAATTACCAAATAAGATGTAATTTTTTTAAATTTATTTTTTGATACTTATATAATAAAATTTGTTAATTTAAAAAGTGAGATTAAGAGATTGATTCATATTTTAATTTTTTTAATTATATGTTTAATTTTTTTTACTAGACAACCATTAATATTTCATTCAAAAACTATGCATGTTCTCGCCATTAATATTTTTAATGTTGGTTTGTTTCCTTCTCATTCTCAATTTTGCAGGATCAACAAATTTGACCGTAGCTCGGCAGTGCTAGAAAACTATGAGGAAGGAGAAAAATATGCGGACCATAGACTTCGCAAATTCCTCCGAAGCCGTCCCCCAGAAGTCATGCCGGCCATTAACCATTTCTTCTCTGAAGATAAATGATTAGTTCAAAACAACAGTACCCTCTCAAGCTTACATGAATTTGTTTGTGAATGAAAAACTAAAATAAATTGTCCTGATCAGTTTCCCTTTCTTTGTAATGATACAATTAAGGTGTTCTTCTTACCAAATAATATATTGACAGCGAGATTGCTGTTTTTTATGCCCTTTTTTAGTCTTTGACTTTGATGATTCAACGGATAATGAAGAAAAATCTCGAGAGAGTGTTAGCACGTGCGCACGTGATTGTTATTTAAGTTATTATATAATAAAATAATTTTATTAATTTATAATAATAGAATTGAAATAATTATCATAATATTAAATTAAATCGAAAAAGTAAAGTTAGATTTATAAACTTAATAATTATAACAAAAATTTTAATAAATGTTTGGGAAATAATTTGCCTTTTATCTGTTTGGGAATTCCTAATAGTGAGTCTCCTTATTCATGTTTTTTTTTTTTTTTCCGAAATACTATTCATTAAAATTCTAAGTCTTCATAATCATGATTTCAAACTATGCTTTTAATTGCCGTGCCATTATGATTTAGGACCCAACAATCTCTTGGCCATATGCCCAAACCCTACGCCTTTTGAATGTGACATCTCTCTTCTCTTCGTGTGGTCTTCGTTCATTGATAAATATTTAATTTTGAATATTACTAATATACTATATATGATTCAATATTGAATTTTTTTGCAATTATTTATTTCAATGTTTCATCCAATACAACAATCCCATTTTCGTTATCACTACCCCGATGAACTTTTAGGCCTAAAAATGTATTTAACATGCCCTAAAAATTTGCTTTCAATCACTGCCGTTCCTGTGTTTCTGATCAGTTTCAACGTTACAAATTAATTTAAAAGATATTTAGTACTTAAACTAGATTATTTTCTTCGATTCTTTGAAGTTTGAACTATGTCAAATTTAATAGATGGTAAGGAATAGTCCTTTAATCATCCTTGTTGGTCCTCAGTTTGAATCCGATTCAATATAATCCCTTCCCTGCATTGAAATCATCGATTGGAAGTAGGAACTTTAGAGTCGTTGGGTATTTTAAGGTCAAATTTTCGTGTTCCATATGTTGTAGAAAGCATGACTTAAAATCCTGTTGGACTCCTTTTTTAATTTTTTAACTCTTATCAGTTGACTTGTTTCTTGATATCATTGTCTTTGAGTAGATTACCAACCCGTTCCAGCTTTCTTGCTTTTTCTCTATATTCTATGTCTGTTTTATTGCTGTTTCTCGTGAAAATTTCCTTGGTTTTCTCAGCCAAAATTCTGAGAAAAAACCCAAAAATTTCCCAATAAAAATTATTTTTCTATGATTTATTTCAAGGATTGAACCTCTGCTTCTTTTTTGTTACAATCCTTTCGATCGGCAACTATGAATCTTTATCAAAACTTGCTTGTCATCGCATCAGTTTCTATATTTCTCAGTGTTGCTTCAGCTTGCTCTGATGGACAGTGCAAGGTTTGTCTCGGTATTTCCAATCTAATTGTATATGATCTTTGTTGGCTTTTTGGAATTCCTTATTGTTCTTAGTTTTAATATTCAGCTGCTTGATGAATGTTCTTCTGATGGAGATTGTGAGGCTGGACTCTATTGTTTCTCTTGCTCCCAAGGATTTTCAGGTTCCAGATGTGTAAGATCAACCATTTCAGACCAATTCAAGCTTCTAGTAAGTGATGAACTGATAAACTGCCTTTTCTTTGTTTAGCTCAGTCAAGGAACCTTTCACTGTCAGTTGAGCCCGTTAGACATTTATGGCAACCTTCTAGGAAAGTCACAGAAAAATTAATTCATAAACATAGTCTCCAGAATTTCTAACCCTTTATTAATTCTGACCAAGGCAAATGAAGCCATGAAGCTTATGGCAGATCCATTTTTTTTTTTTTTTTGAGGTGTCCACTTATTGCAACGGGTGTCTGCTGGCTGCTGTGTGTTAGTTGGCTGTGGGTTGGATATTGGGTAATGATAGTGAGCGGAGTGGTTAGGGAATTAAGAAAGAAATGTTTGGGCTGTTCAGATGAAAAACTTCCTTTAAATTTTTTTGTTTTTAATATTTGGAAGTGTACATGAACACCATACCATAGCATTTGCATCCGCCACTACTGCATGAAGCCATTGCATTGACCTATTTGGCTTTGTCATTTTCAAAAGGGTGAATATTGTAAGTATATCTGATATAATAAGTGTGCATCTGCAATTATATAAATTCATGTACATATTAATTTTTCTATTTTTCTTTTTCTGAATAGAACAACTCTCTTCCTTTCAACAAATATGCATTCTTGACAACCCACAATGCCTATGCCATCGATGGATATCCTTTGCATACCCCAGTTCCTCGCGTTACCTTTACGAATCAAGAAGACATGATTACTGATCAACTCAATGTATGTTTAGAATTATTCTGAAACTGATTCTATAATCTATAGTTTCTATGATGTTTATCTGTTTGGAGTTTCTTCCAACTTGATTAAACAAGCCTAGATGACTTGCAGAATGGAGCCAGGGGATTGATGCTTGATACATATGATTTTGATGGAGACGTGTGGATGTGCCATTCATTTGGAGGAACTTGTCATGACTATACTGCATTTGTAAGTAAAATTTTCCCTTATTTTTATTACAAAGAGGCAGCAGTCTAGAGATTGCAAGTGTTTGAGACTTGACCTCATACTTGTTGAATGCCACCACTTAAAACTAGTAATATGAATTAACTAAGCCAAGTTCCCTTTTCAAAATTTTCCATTGTTAATAAACCCTATCTGCCATAAATATTGCCCTTTCACATTTTTATTGATTGGCCTAGCAGGGACCAGCTATAGACTATTTGAAGGAAATTGAAGCTTTCTTATCAGCAAATCCAGAGGAAATTGTTACATTAATCTTGGAAGATTATGTCGGTCCAAATGGTTTGACAAAGGTCTTAACTGATGCTGGGTTGATGAAATACTGGTTTCCAGTATCAAACATGCCAAAAAATGGTGAAGACTGGCCTCTAGTCAGTGACATGGTTGCTAATAACCAAAGACTACTTGTATTCACGTCAATTCAGTCAAAGGAAGCAAGTGAAGGAATTGCTTACCAGTGGAATTACATGGTCGAAAATCAATGTAAGGCATATATATCCTAACCATATTTCACATCATCAACGACTAAAAACATGATAGATGTCATTGTTTAATTTGAGACTTGTGTATGCGAAATTCACTCTAAAAAGAATTCAAGGTTTATCTTAGTTGATTCATATAATCACCCTTAAAAGATGATATTCAGTAAGTTAATGATTCAAATCTCAACACTTGTAATTATTTTCTTTATTTTGATCATACTACAATCTCTTTTGAAAAAAAAATCACTCGTAAAAGAAAATTATATTATTAAACTTTCCAGGACATGTAAATCAATTAACATTATATAATCGAAATAAACACAACTATTGTTACTAATTGAAATTATCCAATTCTTGCATGTGAATTTGGCAGATGGGAATGGTGGAATGCAAGCAGGAAGTTGTCCTAACAGGGGAGAATCATCAGCTCTAGATGACAAGAGTAAATCCCTAGTATTGGTCAATTACTTTCATTCAATGTCAAGCAAATTAGAGACATGTAAGGACAACTCAGGGGATCTTATCAACATGCTTCACACTTGCTATGCTGCTGCTGGTAACCGTTGGGCTAACTTTGTTGCTATTGATTATTACAAGGTATTTTAACTCTCTAAAATTACTTCATTGTTGTTGATTAAGGTTTATTTTGAATGAGATTATGGTGAGAAGGATATTCAAAACCTGAATAAGTTTATATATTCTTGTTTTGGTTTGCATAGAGGAGTGAAGGAGGAGGGTCATTCCAAGCTGTTGACACTTTGAATGGGAAGCTGTTATGTGGATGTGATGATATACATGCATGTGTGGTAAGTCAAATTTGCATTTTTAAAAAAATGTCATAACTAGTTCATATTAATATTAATTATTTTTTAGATTTAAATTCAATTATTTGCACTTTTATAATTTGACACGACATCCCTTTTTTAAAAAAATAAAAAATTTCGTTGTAATTTCTATTGATATATATATATATATATATATCTTAAAAAAATCAGAAGTTTAATCCTCAACCTATTTTTGAAAAATTGAATAGGAAAAAAAATGTTTGGCAAAATGAATCTAAATCTTAGGTTTAATTAATTTATATAATTATTTTTAAAAAATGACATCCAATAAATTTAAAATTTAAATATCAATATCTACAATTATTTCTCTTATAATCAAATTACAACTTTCTTTATAAAAAATGTAAGGCAAAATTTATGCTTGGGGCTCTTTTCATTTTATCAAATTCTCTTCTTTAGGTCTTTCGTTTTTTGGTCTAGTGGCCACAGAAACTTTTAGAAAACATAAAAACTTAATTTCGAACCAAATTTCTCCTCTATTGTAACAGAGCTTTAACCTTTCTTAAAACCAAAAAAAAAAAAAAAAAATCACTTCTCTTAGAAGTCTAGGTTTCAACTGTTTTGGATCCTAGGCACAAGAGTACCAGCCTAGGTTTCAACTTTTCTGACAAATAAAAATGCTGTGTTTCTTACTCATTGCAGCCGGGATCAACTTCAGGGGCCTGCACACCATAAGATCAATTCTAGCCAGAGGAAATTCATGGTTGAGGACCTCGTCAAGATTTTGTGAAGCAAAGTTTTTTAGCAATAAATTCATTCTTATTGATCATCAAAAACTTTTGATCCAAGAGTAATTGTAGATATATATACTTGCATGATACTATAACATATATGCTGAGTTCATGTATTTAATAAAATCTCTTGGCATTCTTATCTACACTATAGATTGTGTAGTTTGAGGAAGAGTAGAGTATCTCCCCACTATATGCATCATTCATAGAAGAAAAAAAAGATAAACATGGTTAATTACTGTTAACTTTAACATTAAGAAGCATGAAAACAAGAGTTAGCATACGAATTCAATTAATTTGTTGAAAAAAGTTATAACTTAAGCTAGAGGTACAATTAAGGAAGTTTGAATATCAAATTTTAGCATGTGAAATCTTTTTTTTTATTTTTAGACTGCGATTTTTTTATTAAAAAATAATTGAATTATGTTAACCTGACTATTTAAAAATCTTAAAAAAAAAAAAAAAAAAACAAAAAAACAAAAAACAAAAATGGTTTTTTTTCTTCAAGGCTAGCAAGGCCCATAAAACCTTTGATGGACAGATTGAAAGCCTGGTTTCTATCACCTCTCTTACACGAAACTGATCGATAGGATCCTTTTCGTACACAATTAGTGGATCAGTTGGTCCATTGGGCTCCATGCAAATCCAGTAGTGAATCAAACTTTTCATTTGTTAACAAACATTACAGTGTTATATGTTTTTTCACAAAGAAAATTTAAAGTATAATTGCATAATTTTAAAATCTCCAAGACGGGTGCATATATAACCATATTCAGATTCTTAGCTTTCATCCAAGGTTTGCCGCATGTTGGCTTGATAGATCCAGAAAAAGAAAACTCTTTTATTCCTTGTCGGCATCCAAATTCTATTAATATTCCTTTTTCTCTCTTTTAGGTTTAATAATTTTTTGATAAAAAAAAAATCGTAGCCTGAAAAAGGTAAGAGGTTGCAATTATTAAAATTAAAATTAAAATTTATTAGATATCACTTATTAAAATGATTAATTATATAAATTAATTAAACTAAACACTGAATTTATATTTAACAAATTTATCGTATCCTTACTTCCATTAAAATAGTAAAACACAAATGGGTTTATGGGTACCTAACCCTTCCCATGTGCAGTAATACACGCCTCAATTTTTTTAATTAAAAAGACAAAGTAATTAGTAGCAAAGATTAAGATGATAATCTGTCCTTTCATGCAACAAATTATAATAATAATTAGATAAAGTTTTTTTTTTTTTTATGATTCTTAGGATTATTATATATCAAATCCAATAAATAATACTTTGTTGTCATGATCTTAAACTAAAGTACTAGACAATTATTCTCTCCAATTCCAATGGAATAAATTAATATAGAAAAGTTCGTGAATTAATTATTGAATTCTAGTATGGGATCCGGACAAGGATTAATGTAAATGCACCTTCGTTCTCTTGCTTTGCAGAATAATGACCCCTTAAAAGTGGAAAATCATGACCTAAACATGTGTAACGACCTGATTCAAAGAATTGTGTTTGAATTTCTCTCTTTCAATTTAAAAAAAATTATTGAAAAATCATTGATTTTATTTTATGTCAAAATGTGCTTTATTTTGATTTGATATTTGCTAGATAATTAAAAGAGGAAAATTGTTTTATGATTTTATCATATGTCAAAATTATTGTTGATTGATATTTAAAATAGTTGATATAAAATTATCATATGAAAAATAATTGATTGATATTTAAAATTTTTGTTTGTACTTAGAAGTTGTAAATTCAAAAGAGTTCGCAATATCATCTTTTAACTATGTGAGTATAAAAAGTATGAGATTAGGGATTTTGAATTAAAAAAAGAAAATTATTACTTAAACATATATAATCCTAGCCAAAAAAAGTCAAGTTCAAATCCTCCTCCCTCAATTAAAAAAATGAAAAATCATTTACTTTTATAGTGAGGTACTAAAATATCCCTTCATTTTGACATGAAACAAGTAAATATATATATATATATATATATATATATATATATTGGTTTTCTCAATTTATAAAGAGTAGTTGGACCATTTTTCATTTTGCTTTCTCAATTTATATGATATCTTCGAGTATGATTTTTTTTTTAGGATAACTACTTTCCTTGGAGCACAATAAGGTGTTATCCCATGTTGCATTGCATGAAAAGTGGCCTACAAAGATTAGAGTGGTGATTAAAAATTGGCTTAAAGTAAGTAAATAACAAATGCAAAGAAAGATCCTTTATAATTAAAAATTCAACCATTTGCAAGCATGGTGGAAATGAGCATCCAGCTTCCCACGATGCCCGACATATTGGCCAAATAAGTAAGGCAATGAACGATACGTCTTTCCTTTGTCCATTTCAATAATAGAGCTTTTGCTTAATTCATTGCTTTGCCAAAAAACCTATATCCAAATATATAACGCGTTTTGTAAATATCTATATGTTCGTTCATCAACTTTCTTGAGTTCACGTGAAGGGCTTGGTTTACATGCTTTGCCATACTCGCAACCAATTTATCTCATTGAAAAATATAGATTTATTAGTTTAGTTGCATAGGAATGTTTGATTCAATCTAACTTGATTATATAGTGATTTTAACCATGAATTATTGGAGTTGATATCATGTTTACTATTACAAATTTTCCATAAATGTTTGTAATTATGATCTCTTAACTTGTAATTATAGTACAAAACTGAAAAAGATATGAAAGTCTTACTCTCTGATTGAATCAAAATTTCCATTTTTACTCTTTTTTTTCAATTTGTTATTTTGTTTAGAATGTTGTACACAGTACATCAATTCTTTCTGACTTTATGATCATGAAACAAAAGAAACAGATCATTGCAAGAGTCAAAAAGATAGTGCTAATTAATAATTTGCTTCAATCTGTTGATAGTTTAGAATGTGATGTATCTCACATTGAGTAAAAATATCACTTATATATGGTTCAAAAAAATTTACTTATATTATTTAAATAATTGAGCTTAGTGTTGGAGTATACCAAGTCATTTGGGCTTGCTAGGAGTTTTTCTAGTGGGTTAGATAATTTTAAAAGTCAAAGATGGACACTTGGGCACTTGGGTTTGTTTGGTAAATAGATTTAATTTTTAAATCTGTATTATTATTATTATTATTATTTATTTTAATATTACTGATTCTGAATAAATATGTGTGAACAGCGAAAAATATTACTGTTTAAATAAAGTTTATTTAAACAATAAAACATGACTATACAAAATGTCATGATTTTTTTGAATTGGTTTGATTGATGACTGTTCATTTATTATAAATAAATTTTCTGCCTGACCAATTTCACTACTTCTGATTTATAAAATTTTAAAGCTTTATTATATCTTATAAGCATAATTGCTTTTAAATTGTTAGTGTTATTTACCTCTCAAAACTATATTTTCTTCTTTCTTACTATTCCTGCTTTTCTTAAATTTACTAACACAATCAAGCTTGACGATTCAAGACTAGAGTGGATCAATTATCAATTTAATTGTCAAAACAGTAACTATCCATACTTTTGTGTAAAGCATGTGAGGTCGGTTGGTTTAGAAAGGTATCTAAAACAGCCGACAATTTTTGGGTAACAAAAAATATACAAGAAACTAAGTGCTACGATACAAAATCTCATTTATTTATATCGATATTAGATATGCATGATCATTAACCTAGCATCCCTTTTGATATATAGTGCCTAGCTTGCTTGCTTCTACGTTGTTTCGTGCCTGAAATAATGGGATTCATGTTATTGGTGATTCAAAGCATTCTATGGTTTCAGTTAATATGTTGTATAATTATCGTATAATAAATTTGTTGATTGAACATGGTTTGATGGAGACTTTTTTTTTATTATTTTTATAAAAGAGATCACAACTTGATAAAAAAAGAGATTGTAGGTGCTGAAAGATAATTTAATAATTGAGTATATATATATTTATATGTATAATACATATGATCATAATGTTTTGCTCCATATCTCTAACTATCTCTACCTGCTTTTCATTTCATTAAAATGTTAAGAAAGATTTTATATCAGAAAAAAAAAATTTTGTTTGAGTGATAGACAGGCAACTGTTTTGGGGAATCCTCTGTTAACCTAAATTGTTATATGAAATTCTTATCCAATATGTTTAATAGGACCAGTTTTCTTTAAAAAAAAAAAAAAAAAACCCCTTTTGTAGCTGAAAATAATAATAGAGACGGGAGGAAGGATAGAATTGAAAGGTACAATAGACAATTTGATCACTCAAAATGAAATTCCAGCTCAGAGTTTTCAGGAAAGGAGGACATGTGGATTTAAGTCTTCGAAACTAATAATTGGATTATATATGAAGTCAACACAGCATTCATCAAATTTCATGCCTTGAAGAAAAAGAAAAGAAAGAACAAGTGGAAAATGGCAAATGGGAAAACGGTTTATATAAATAAATAAATATATATATATATTTCTTGGTATTGTGGAGATATGAAAATTTATTGTTATGACTTCTTTGAAACCTGCGATCTGCTCTGACTCTGGAATTGGGAAGCCTCCTCCCATCACCCTAAACTTACAAAAAAAAAAAAAAAAAAAAAAAAAAACTTAATGTGCTATGGGGTCACTTAAACTGTCAGGTGCTTGTCAATTGTGTTCAATGGTGGCAAGGACGATTATGATACAATAAACCCACGAGGGGGCAACGTGCAGTTTGGCATTGTTTTCTATTGTTTGATTGTTGGAGAAGAAGATTAGCCCCACCACCAGTACCAGAGCTAAGTTTCATCCTCATTGTGGCCAAGCAGCCACCAGATCACATGGTTTTGGTACTCCTTTTTCAACATAATTAGGTTAGCTAATGTGGGCTAAATGGGGAGAGAAAATAAATTAAAAAAAAAAAAAAACAAATTGCAAAAAGAGGGGAATGAAAGAAACAACAGCAAAGACAAGGACCTTAGCATCAAAATGAATTGAAATGGGGACCTTAAACACATGGGGTGGGGTGCCTTTCAGATTGTGCTGTTGCAGCCAACCAAAAGCTAAGAATCTTTTGCAAAATGTTGGTTGGAAAGCACACACCTTTGGGGCAAAACCCCT